AGCTAGGGAGGAGCGCTTGCCCCAGAATGGGCATCAAATATGCATCCAGCTTTCCAGAGGGTGGGCAGGACTGGCCAAGGGGCCTGGAGTTGGGATCTGTGACCTAGTTTGGCCATAGGGCTGACTGAATCCCTGGGTGCTCATAGGAATCCCCCAATTATGCCCCATCCCTCTCCTCTTTGCCTGAGGGAGGCAGGCTGTGCTCAGCCTTTGGGAGGCTCCCTCTCTGACCCCTATGCACGCCCACCAAGGCAGAAAGAGTTTCAAATCCAAGGGCTCAGCTAGCAATGCTCTTGATCTCTAGTTAAAGGAAGTTGCCTCCCCCACTTCTTCCTCAGAGATTTCCAGTCCCTGGCATAATGTACATACACACAGTATCTCTAGGACATAAACGTTCCACAAATCAGGGATAAAAATGATCCTCTCTTCCTCACCTAAGAAATGAGATGATGCAGGTTCAAACTAAGAAGAACCATTTAGCATAGAAGAGAGAGAAATAAATAGTTCAGGGTGCATGAATTAGCAAAGCTTCTTATTTTCTGTAACTCAACCTGACTTCAGTTTCTTTTCTTTTTCTAGCCCTCCCTTCACGCCCTCCACCCTTCCCTATTTACAAAGACTTTATTTCCATTTTTTCCATTTCTCATCATTTGTCCTTTCCCTTCTTTGCTTTCCCCTGCCCCTCCCACTACCCCTACCCCTTTGGACCTTTTCTTCCTATTTTGCATTATCGATTATTCATTCTAATCATTGGTACATTTTAGGTATACAATATAATGACATTCATCACTGGAAATTTGCACCTTTACATAGTCTCTCTTGGTTCTTATTTTTCACCCTTGCCCAGCCCTCCCTTCAGCCCCTCCATCCCTCCCTATTTACAAAGATTTTGTTCCTATTTTTCCATTTTCTCATATTAATCCCATTCCCTTCTATCCTTTCCCCTAGCCCTCCCACTTTCTTCCCCTTTGCCCCTTTTCTTCCTATTTCACATTACCTATTATACATTTAGTCCTTATTTACACTTTCGGTTTCTCACACCAGAGAAACTATTCGGTATTTATACATGTGTGTCCTATTTATTTCACTTAAGAGTATTGCCTCAATGTGCATCCACTTAGCTATAAGTGTCTCTAATTTCTCATTTTTTATGGCTGAGTAGTACTCCATTTTATAAAAAAAAAAACCCCACATTTTCCTTATCCAGTCTCCAGTTGACGGGCATTTGGGCTGTTTCCAAGATTTAGCTATTACAAACTGTGTTGCTGTGAACATGGGTGCACATATATCACTGTGGTATGATTCTTTTAATTCCTTGGGGAAGATCCCCAGCAGTGGAATAGTGGGGTCAAATGGGACTTCCAGTCCTAGTTCTTTGAGGTATCTCCATACTGATTTCCACAGTGGTTGCACCAGTCTACCCTCCCACCAGCAGTGGAGCAGGGTTCCTCTTTCCCCACAGCCCCGCCAGCATTTGTTATTGGTGGATTTCATGATAGCAGCCATTCTTTCTGGATGAGGTGGAATCTCAGCATTGTTTTCATTTGCATCTGTCAAATGACCAGTGATGTTGAACATTTTTTCATATATTTATTTGCTATTTCTACTGACTTCAGTTTCTTGACCCATCCTACCATGGTGGTGGGAGATCTTATTTCCATTGATGGTTTGGGTGGGGATCCAGGGCACTGCACCTGCCCACACTACCCCTAACCTTTCCAGAAAGGCTTACTGGGTCTCTGCTGAAGTCCATGGTGCTAGCCTTTCTTTTCAAGAGGCTGCACACAGGCAAACCTCTGTGCAGGTCCCAGACTTCGCCCTGCCCTATGCCTGACCTAGGGGGAAGTCTGTCTTCCCCTGTACCCTATTTCAAGTCCCTCTGTTCCCTGTCAAATGAAATCTTCCTGTGGATCATCTTTTGAAATAAAGAGCCAAGAATACTCCTGCCACTATGTTCCTCTCTGGAGGAAGTAAAGCCAGAACCTGGAATCTGCTTGATGCAAAACAAGAGGAAGGAGGAAATACAGGGAGATGAGCAAACATTCATATTCTGCATGTTGCTCAATCTCACTTGTTTTCAGAAGTTACAATTCCTGTCATAACTGGTCATTTTAAAGCAATCCTCCTCTCCCAGAAAATTCTTATCACAAAGTAGTCCCAAATGAGGATATATTTGCAATATCCTCAGGACGGACAGGTCAGTCTTAAAGAATGTTACACAGAGTTGTGCTTTGGAGCCACTCAGCTTCCTCTGGCCCCTATCGGGTCTGTCACCTGCCGTAAGATGCTCCCTCTTCGAAGCCTGCCTTGACGGCCTGCCACAGTGCAGGCTTATCCTCAGGCTCTCTCACTTCCTATCACTCTCATTGCCATTGTCAGAACTTTTAAGCTAATCACATACTGTCTTATTGTTAGCTTTTTTTTCCCCAACCTCCTCAAAACATATAGCACAGGGCTACCTAATTCTGCAACGTGAGAGCATGAAAGGCAAGAAATACATCCCTCATGCATAGTAGGGCTCCACTGATGCTGGTTCAACTAACAGAGGGATTGGGAAAATTTAACCAAAGCATTGCCAATCAGTCAAGGGCATAATGGAATGGCCCATTCCTTTGTTTCTCTCTGTGGCCTCAAAACAACTGAAGAACACAATGTTTTTTAGGACAAAGATAAATGTTCTACATAAAATGCTGAAATATACAGTCATAAATTATGATAGCATAATGTATATTTCTGTCTCTTACATTTGCAATTGATGCTGTTGATTCCACAATACTAGAGAGTTCTTTAAATTCTTCATTACAGAACAAATTCATATCTTACTGCGGTCCTATAGTTGTTCTCTGCCTTGGGCATTCACAATTCAAAAGGGCCATTGATAAAAACAGTTTAGTTTAAAGCAGATAAGAACATGAATTATTGTATTGAAAAATATTTAAATGGTATCGCATTGCAAGTGAGTAAAATCATCATTTATCCAGAATAATTCCCAATAATGAGCCTTAAAATTTATTTAATGAAGGTGACTCTTCCAAGGAAGTTGTGTGAGAAAATGTTTCTTTTAAACTTTGGACTCTGTTAATGACATTTTAAGTTTGTTTTTAAGGAACACTCATCAAAAATGTGAAATATTTTACATAAAGACAATGACTGGACGAAAGACAGGAAGATTAGGGCTTGGCAAAGTGGCCGGGCAATTGTGCATGACCTGTCAATCATGGAGATCTCTCAGTCATGGAGACCTGTTAGTTACAGCCAGGACACAGGCACAAAACAGAGCTTCAGAGCCCTGCATAAGACAGCCCAGATCTGACAGCAGAGTGTGAGTAAAAAACAGCAGGCACTGGCCTGGCAGTCACTGTCACCTCTTCTCACAGTGGCCTGCTCTGTGGACAGGGCATATTTTCTTTTTCCGAACTCACTCTTCAGAGCACTTTTTTTCTTCAAAACACTTCATCTCCCTTCAAAGTTTTCCCTACTTCCACCTTGAATAAATGTAAAACCTCTATGTTCAGTCCTTTGAACAGGACCACAAAAGCCTGAAAAGCCCCGGGCAACACCGGCATCCAGTAACAGAAGGATGGATACTGACATCGGGGCCATCTCAAATGCATGCCAGGTATGCACTAGCATTTTAAAATTGGAATGGTTTGGTCCAAAGAGTGTTCACACCATTCTGCCTCCACTGGCTAATGAAGCTTCATAGAAGTGAGTGGGTTCAAAACTGCCACTGTGGTTAGTACTCTGACTCCAGAAACTATCCAGCGCACTTTCCATAGGCCCAGGCTACTACCCTCTGTGCTTCTCAAACACTTCTTCCTTCTGACCTCTCCACCAGCTCACTCCAAATTTGATATCTCTCTTGCTCTGAATCTCTGTAGAGTCCCCTTGCTTAATAGCATGGTTTTGGATTTGCTGCTTATTTATCAAATACTTTTTCAATTTCTCTCACATGACATAAGCTGTGCCAGGCCCATGGAAACAATAAGAAAAAGAGAGCTCCCCTTAGGAGCTCCTAATATGGGAATTATGGGCGGTTAGAAAAACAGTGACTGTTCTTACTAGGAGAGTACTGAAGGGCCATTTGATTTAGTCCTAAAGCACCAGAGAGACTTCTGAAAGCTCATGCCCACAGCACAGTGGCCAAGAAATAGAGCACAAGCAAATCCCCTAGGGATCTCAAGAGTAACTGAAGAGAAACTGAAAGAGATCCCACCATGCAGATGGGGCAGAGTCAGAGAAACAGTGTTTTATGGTCATTGCTATGATCCACTCCAATAAAGACAACCAGGAAGTGCTTAAAACTTGAAGAGAGCCAACTTACCTATTCACTTTCTCGGATGGCAACGTGGGATGTTTGTAACCTGCCTACCAGAGTACCTAGTATGTAACAGGCACTCAGAAATGGTCACCATCTTATTCCTACTCATTCTTAATAAGCTTGTGACTGGAGGACATAATGTAGCAAGAAAAAAGGCAAGTACAGGTTAAAATGTGTATGCCCAAGGAGTTGTTCATTTGAGACTGGCAGACCTGTCACACTATCTAAACTTAGCTTTTCACCTAGAAAATGTGGTTTATGGTGTCCAATCTCCAGCAACATGCAGTCAGGATCCAGTAAAAATCAGAAAATGAAAGTAAATGTCCCACAGCAAGGCTGGGTTATTGGATTCCTCCTCTTAGGAAGAATACAATGTGTTTCACAGCTCTGTGCTGGTAAACGTAAGCCATGAGTGCAAACTGGAGAAGACCCGTCCTGAGCAGAGCTCCCCCCCCCAGCCACTATCAACCACACATGGCCCCACAAAAGAAAGGCAAACAGAAGAGACATTAGATTGGGTCTTCCAGAAGGTCTTTGTTGCAATTTCTCCATCATTGAAAAAAAGTACATCATCAAATAAAGACAATAGCAGCACAGCATATTGAAATGTTACAAGCAAATTTGCTTTTGTACTTTTCCTAAGAACATTATGAAATCCCCACACACACATTATTATCTGTAAAATGCCTTTTTTTTTTAAGCACCATGAAGTCCTACAAAGAGAAAAATAGGTAAAACACCTCCACAAATGGGTTCATCGTCGTTGTCACGGGGTCCACTGCCTTCGAATCTGGGAGGGGAAAGGAGCTGGAGGCTGGCATGTGGGGTGGTTTGCATATCACTTCTAGGCACCGCTGCAACTCCACATTGGAGCCTGGTGCCCTGGCAGCAAAGGAAGGGTTGGGCAGTTGCCTGCCACAGCTCGGGTCTGCTCGGTAGATGGGGCAGGTGTCCGTTCAAGGAATTCTGTTTTAATGCCCAGGGAATTGTTTGATTCTTCACTTAAGAAACAAGAACTCAAAGGAGATCCCCAATGTCAGGCACCATTTTCAGTAAAATTGGAGACACCACTCATTTCTCCTCGGTGCCACTGTGCTGATGTCATGTGACCTACAGACTGCCATGGGAGGGCCGACTTTTACAAGGGACTTGGATGGGTGGGCGAAGTTGAATGCAGCTATCACACAAGGACAGAGCGCAGGGCTTTATTTAGAGCCATGGGACCAGTGTGCTAGTTTAGTTCCTATATGTCAAATTAACAGCACCCAGGATACCAAATTAAAGTAAGCTTTGTTTTAGAGTTACATTTTTCCCTTTCAAGGCCATTACTAACTAGCTTTTACACTCTATCACCACAAGCTTCCTCCACTCCTTTAGCTACTCTATTTGCACACAAGGGCATCTTAACAGTGAGGAAGAATTACCCCCATTTGAAACATTAGTAGCATGCAGAAAGCAGAGATATGGAACATAATACCAGCACGTTCTTGTGTTCTTCCTGTAGAGGCCCTCTGTGCTTGTTTGTTTTCCTGTGGTTCAGAAACGATGGTACACAGTGGATGGTTCACATTCTTATGCAGTCTACTGAGTCAAAACTTGCCTCTCTCAAATCCTGGCCATATTCTCACTAATCCCTAAAATCAAGCGTACAAATAGATATGCAGCCCTGACTTAACTAGGAAGTGATATCATCTGAGAGGGAGGAAAGGGGGCGATTGCCAAAGCTTAACACAACCAGGACTTTGAACGTGAAATGGTCCTCATAGAACCCAGAACAGCCATTTCCTCCCTCTGTCTGTGGAGAGAGAGAGACAGAGACAGAGAGACAGAAAGAAAGACAGAGAGAGACAGGAGGAAAAGTACACAAATTCATGAAGTAATCAAAGGGAACTTGTAGTACAACTGACTGTAAATAGCAACAGCTTAAAATTCTTTAACTAGCTTTAACACCATGCAAAAAATGCAAAATGCCCACATAGCATGAGCCCCCAGGTGACAGTGTGCCAAAGAGTTCTAAGGGAGAACAGAGCCTACACTAGACATGATCCTAATTTGGAAACCAGTCTCCCAGATACATCTGGTCTCCGTCAATCACCCAGAAAACAAAGGACAAAAAACCAAGCTCTCCCCTACAATGGTTGGGATCCTTAACCAAATCCCAAAATCCAACTTATAACTTTCTTAATAAATTTAAGTAGCTGTGGGCTGGGGAATGTTTCACCAAGGAACTGCAGAACTAAAAAGGCCCTTACAACTATCTGTGCTCAACTTCCTTGATGTGCACATGAAGTACAGAGAATTGATGTGCCCATGAGCATGGGCTGTGGCTGGAGGAGCCAGTAGCCCCAGTCACCTCAGTAATAGGCTAGGGATACCTCACACATGCATGTACACACACGTGCGCGCACACACACACACACTATACAGCTCTACCCAAAATATGACAGATTGCTGAAATCACTATTGGGTTAGGACTGGGCAATGACCTATATTAGTTTCTCCAAATCGTCCTTTGGCTGTCACCAGCAAACCTCCAGATGTGTTTTGAGAATAAAATTCAGTACCCAACGACAAGGTGAAGCAAATGACACCACCCAATGAAGATATTGACCATGTGCTCTTTCTGTGTGCAACATCAAAATGTCTATTCCAGGTTTTGGTAAGGTGGGAATGCAGACTGTAGAGGAAGGGCTGAGCAGTGCACATAGAACATGTAGCAGCTTTGCGTTATCATGTGTGTCCTGTGCGCTATTTGGCCCCATCTTTAAAAAGGTAACATTCAAGTTTCCAAAACAGCTGAATCCTCAAATCTTAGCTTGTACACACGAAGAAGAATCCAAACTCTTATTCCTTCTCAGGTTTTTCCCTTGGACAGTACTTTCTAATTTTTGAAATACTTTTCCCACATATTTAATGGATCAGTCTCCCTCGAAAGGTCATCTTTGACATTATTCAGCAGGGCGTGTCCCCACTGTGCTCAGGGAGGAGGACAGGAGGACGTATCAAAGATTTCTGCACTCCCAACCCAAGGCTATTTCTGACTCTGCATTACTGTAATTTGACTCTTTGGGGAAGCGTCTATGCACACACCAACACATGCACCTGTTCCATTTGGTAGAATATGCAGCTCAGTGCTCTCTGAACTGTTTTAGTCCTGCTGAATGTGAAATTCCTGCCAGGTAAGCAAGTAAAGTGCAAAAGAGTGCTCTCAAAGGGCATTTGTAACTACACAGAAAAAGTGCCATATGCAGCATTCCCCAAAACAAAACCAAGACCATGCACAGCAGGTGTTTTCCAGGGCAACCCTTTAGGCTATGTTTACGCAGACTTCCTGCACTCTTCTGGGTACAGATTCCTCCATATCTTCTGCTCTCCTCTGTAAACTGTGTCCATGAAGCTTGAAAGACACATGTGCACGCACACTCATGCACTCACACACTCACAAGGGTGCATGACACAGACATTGTAGCAAAGTTGAAGGCAGACTTTGGTCATACTTTGAATACCAGCTCTACCACCTTCTTGCTGTGTGCCCTTAGGTAAGTTACTCAGCTTTCCTGAGCCTCCTTGTCCTCATCTACATAACAGGTTTGCAAATACTTCCCCTGCAGTGCTGTGACCTTTCATGCAGCTGACATCCATCAAGTGCCTAATCCAATGCCTGGTCCACAGAAGGCACTGGATAAATGGTAGGAAAGCCTCTTTCCTAGATCTGGCTGTCAGGCCTACAATTTTAACACACTACTATAAAGAAGTACCAATGTACTATAGGGTGGAAACCCAAATATGAGATCCAAAAGTTTAATCAGGAAAATCCTAGTTACCTACGAATTCCTTAAAACCCTTGGGTCAGGCTGGAATGATACCCATAGTAAAAATCACCATCCGCATCTACATACCCATCGCTTCCCAAGTGTCTGTTGTGTGAACACTGGATGTCACCAGTGAGCCATCGCTTGAGCCAAGGGAAGGAGTAAACCCAAGCTACTCTGGAGAGGAAAGACCTCATCATAGTGATTCTTATTTGGGTCCTTCTCAAAAACAATGCCAGGTCTCTAACTCAAGCCCAAAGGTTGGGGCCAGGCAAAGGACAGATGTCATTTTTGGGGAAATAAGCAGAGAAAGATCTTTGTATTACAAATGGTCAAGGATGCAGTGGGCATAATTTTCCCCTGAAAGAAAGCACTAGAAGGTTTCTGGAAGTCTCCATTTATGTTGTAATTGTCTGGTAAATTCATGGTGTGGGTGAGTTATATCAAATCCTATGAAATACCCCAAAGGTAGGAGGCCCATAACCAGCAACTGCCTGGTATTGCCAGGTACAAATGCTTAAGTGGCCCAAAGAGCTAACTATGAACCAATGTAACAGCCAGTCAATTATGATAAAATCAGACACACACATGGATAATGGTCTACTATTCCTTTTTCCCTTTCTGATAAAAATCCATTTAAAATCACCCTCTCAAAACCTATGACTAGATAGTCTCCCACCTTCCTTCACTGAATGTTCTAATATCACATAATTACCACCTGTTGGTTATTGTTTGCCTTGAAACAATCAATCACAGGAGTGTTCCAATTTTAGTGAATAGCAGGTGTGAGATAATGCAGCAAGGAAAAGAAGGCTTCTAGAAGAAAGGAACAGCCAAACAGAAGTAAAATGAAATATTGTAAGTACTTCTTTTAAGTATTGTTTTGTAAATGGCATTAATGGCACTTAAGCTGCAAGCAAAACATTTCACTTTTACAAGAGTTGGTTGAGAGATTAATTTTGCTTTTGTTTGGGAATAGCAAGATTGGGTCTCATGACTATGTCTACCCAAGACACTCAAAGGGACAGAAAGCCCTGAGATGGAAAGATGCCATGGTACTTCTCAGTATGTCTCAGCAATGCAGGATGTCTATTTTTATAAAAATTTAGAATCGGCTAGGCAGAACAGCAAGCCACTGGCATCATGCAAGGCAATAGTTTTCGTATCTTCCCCCTTATCAAAACGAGTTGTAACTTAAGTTCCAGTAGAAAAGTGAACATGGACATTTCATAATGTTTATTTTCACCATCACACCCAGTGACGAAAATGCATGATTGACCTTTAACCATGCAGCAGTTGAGGCTGACTTTTCACCAGCGCTTGCAAGTTCACTTGGAATACCTGGCCCTGTGAGAAAGACAAAACTCAATAGGGTTCTGTCATTGGTTAAGGTGATATCCACAGTGTGATGTGTGTGATTATTTTTTCCTTTGTCATGAGAAAAGCAATCGCACCTTCTAATATGTGTGCTCTGATCTGCTTCCAACAAAACTTCCAGGTGCTCTCGGGTTCCCACAGCACTCACTCGGAGCTCAGAAAGTATGTTACACACTGAATGGTGTGTGTCAAAATTCAAGTTCAGAGCACATGCCAAAAAGTCAGCTCTAAACCTAGCCACAGTTACCAGTTCAACTACAAACAGGCCCCCTTCTGTGTGCGAGGCTAGCTTCAGGAAACAAAGCTCCAGATACACCTGTTCCCTTCGGAGGCTGGTCTAAGGAATAGCTGCCCTTGTCTGCAAGCCATGCCCAGGTGACACTGCTCAGCGCTACGGCCTCACTGTGGGAAGCCCCTTCACATGGGTGGCCCCGACCTACTACATGTGCGAATGCTCCCTGTGTGTCCTGCAGCTGCTGTCTGAAATGAAGTTCTTGTTCTTTGATTCATTTTGGCAGAGCAAGCTTTCAGTCATTTATGGCACAGTGAAATATATTCTTCAATGCTATGTAATTTTGGACTAACCAGAAGTCTGTTTAAGGCACGTGTCTCAGTGTGAATATTAAAAAAAAAAAAAAAAAAAAAGACCACACAATGCTTAGTCCTAGTCCAGTGTCCTTAACATTTAGTTTCTGTCTTCAAGTAATGAGTTGTTCTCGAGCTCCCTGTCTTTGGTGTCCATGGGTACCATTCCGTTCTCCATTTCTGCATGCTGCTGGATGCATTCAGTCAGCATGGCTGTGCTGGAGTTGTCTGAGTTACACATCTTTTCAGTCTCCTCCTCTTTCTTCTCTTCATCCAGGGAGTAATTCCGGAAGGTCTTGTAGATTTTCTGCACGTCCTCAGGCAGGGTCTTTTTGAGGTCTTTGTTTTTCCTCTTGGTGAGTCTGGAGGTGGACCCAAACTTGTTGATGATGTTGTCCTCAGAGGCGCCCTGCCCGTGTTTGTTGAGCTGCTCCGACCCCTTAAGGCGCAGGTTGTTGGGTCGGTTATTGATGCTGTCCTGGGACGAGGCCTTGAAGCGGCCTGTGTCCAGGGCTGCGAAGACAGAGCGCTTCTCCGGGGACAGCATGTCCAGCGAGTGGGCTCTCTGGTCCAGGCCCAGTCGCCGACGCTCCATGCTGCGGATGGTGGCCGCCCGCTGCAGCTTGTCGTGGATCTCAACGCTGAGCCGCCGCCTCGTCTCCCGAAACTCGGCTGTCACATTGGCCTTCCACTCTGCCGCGTGGGCCTTGATCTCACCAACCTGGCCGGGTGTAAAATGGCAAAACACACTGAAAGACTCTCCTCTGCCTGGGATCTCCAAGCACCCACAGCCCTCAGAAGGCCCGGTGGGGAGTCTGTCTCTGGGAGGCAAGGGATGAGGAGCACGTGTTCAGGGAAAGGGGTAAAGTGCTACTTCAGCCGGAGGCAGACACGTGGGAAAACCCACAGGTCACTTGAGACTGGAAGGCAGTGGTCAAATGAGAGAGGTGGACAGAATTCTGGAGGAGAGATCAGTATTTGGGGCTCCAGGTATGTTTCCTTTTATAAAGAATATGGCTGACTTCCTCCCACATAAACTAGGGCAATCATACCTAGCTCACAGGGTCTTTATCATTACATAAGGAAATGCACCCAGCTGCTCCCCAGGCACAAAGCAGATACTCAGCAAGCCTTGTGTCCTTCCAATCTCTCCATCTGGGTAGGTGATCAACCTGTCCCAGCTTGGCTGGTTTTAAAATAGGAAGTCCTATGTCCTAGGAACCTCCACGGGCCCTGGGCAAGCCAGAACCATTGGCTTTCCATGTTATGACCATGTGCAATGGGGCTTGCTCTGGCTGATGAAGACACTCCAGGACACCTGGCAATCACATTTCCCTGTCAGGTGCAGGACTCAGCAGATTCTGCCACAGGGCACAGAACATACATTCTTAGAAAGTGAAGTCTAGCCTGAACATCAGCACCAGATTTCTTGGATTTTAATCAAAAGAGCAGACAACCCAAGTGCCATGCTTTCCTATAGAGATGACTGGCTCAAATTTTTCCATTTAGGAAAATCAATATGTTTATTCTTCCCCTCTCTTTTGTTATTGCTGATCTTCAGCAGGTCGGTTATCCACCTAGGGAAGTAGACTAGAAATTGCATTGACAGTGTTTATACAATCCAAGAAAATAAACATGCAGGACCAGGAATGACCGGGGAAATTTCCCCTTCAGCAAATTTGTCCTAGGGCCCTGTATGTAGAGGGAGGAGCTGCCTCTAAAGGGGTTGTCCCTCTCCTGCTCTCTTCGAGCTTTCTTCTCTGTTCCTTTCTTTAACTCTCTATCCCCTTCCATTGCCCCCCACTTTCGTATTTCTTTTCTTGTCTTCCTAAAAGAACATGAATTTTTTTAAAATTACAAAATCTATCTTCCTTTCTTAGATCTTCCTTTTCTCATCTTTGTGTAGGTTCTCACACAAATTTACGTGCGGGAGTAAAGACTGTGTGCCACTGGCCATAGGTATAAATTTGTCTATGTAGATCTGACGACGGAGGAGGAGACAGAGGATATAGATGAAAGGGACCTGTTGAGTCCACTTCTTCATAGCTGGCCACTGCTTGATGGCCTCAGCCTCACACTGAATGGAGAAAGACTCACGGTGTTTGACATGTTTCCTCACAGACCCCAGGACCTGGGGAAAGCCCGGCTTTCCTGGGCTCCTTCTGAGACTTCTACGTCTCCCCACATATTTGCTGCTAAAGGGCGAATGCACAGCTCCCTTGGCAATCGTCAGCCTTTACTTACTATTTCTATGCTTTTCCTTTATACTTTTTTACATCAATTGCTGTTTACTAGTCTTCCCAGGGTTGTGGGCTGGTAAGTGAATCACTATGTTTCCCCACCTGCCCAGAAAGGTTCTAGAAATAACTGCTACTCCATTCAACTTGGCCTTGAGGCAAATTTGAAATGAAGAGCCCTGCCTGAGTCAGAAACTCTCCAGCCCACAGAACCCAGATGGGCTAATCCAATGCCAAGAACATCCGCGGAGTCTGGAAGGAGTCTTACCTCTTCTTTCGTCTTTCTGGATAGAACGCGAAGCCAATCTCCAATCATACTGAGGACAGCTGCAAAGTAGGCAAGGCCAACAAGGATCCAGAACCACACCAGGGGCTTATACCACTCCCGGTAATTAATGCCAGCATTTCCCCCTGCAAACAACAAACATTATTTTAACCACGGTCTAGCATCTGCCTCTTGAAGAGCAGATGTCCCAGAGATGTCATTCCACCATCATCCAACACTCAGCTGTTGGCCTCGTGGACACAAGACACAACAGACTGGAGGGCAACCAAAAGATACGTCCCTTCCTTCTGGAGCGTGGCTCGAGCCTTCATTTCTCTGATTCCTGATCATTAACCTTGATGTCGGTAATAGGAAAATGCAGTGGTCAGCTTGACCCATCTGTTCTCACCTGAGCATCAATAACAAATGAGTGATTTTATGTTGGTGCTCCACAGAGCAAAGCTGTCTTTTTTTCCCCTTAAACTTCTCTAAATTTATTTTAATGAAAATCAATATCATTATACCATCCCTACGAGGAACTCCTGGAACCATTTCTATATGAAGCTCACACACGTCTACCCAGAGATGAATGGATGCATGGCAGTAAAATTAGGCATAATGACATTACTGAGACTTTGGTCCACCAACTAGTTATTTAATGCTAACGGGGGTGGGGGGTGTACACATGATCCTAATACAAAGGGTCAATTAGGCTGAGTAATTAGAATTGCCATTAGCTAGAACCAAAAGGGACCTTTGAGGCCAACTAGTCCAATTCCTTTATTTTATAAATAAAGATTACAGTAAAAATCCATCAAACCAAATTGGCCAATTGCCTGATGGTATTGACTGGCTGTTCACTGAAAGCACTGGTCATTCATTCCAAATAATTAGTCTACTTATCGTAGCCTTCTTACAAGTACTGCTGAGACCAGCCTTGAAGCACAGCCTTCAAGCCCTCCACACTCTCCTGAAAAAGTCAAGAAGCTCAGCAACATAATGGATGTCAGCCTTGCCCTAGCAATGGGAGACACTGCTGCCCAGTGAGGCAGGCAGAACCATTACTTTTTTTTTTTTGGTACCAGGGATTGAACTCAGGACCTTGTGCTTCCGAGGCAGGCACGGTGCCACCGACCTAAAACCCCAGCATGCAGAACCATTTCTAAGACGACTGACATCTGCAATGTATTGGCAATTAAAGCGTTAGGTGATGTGACTGCTAGGCTCTCCAAGTGTTTCACGATTATAACCACATCTAGCACCACTGACGCCATACTGAGCTCTTACGGCATCCATAGTACCTGAGAAAGCCAGCCTGACAGGCACTGGGACCTGTGCCTCTTCTCAACATGCCCACATCCACTTCACAGTGAGCCCATGAGGCCTTGACAGCTAGTCTACATCCCAAAGTGAGAATTCCAAACACTGCTACAGGGCTCTGTGTCAAGTCCCCTTTGGTTTGGTTTAGCTGCATTTATTTTTTTTCCCCTGTAGGCAACTAACAGTCCCCTGCAGCTTTCTCTAGGAACCAATCTGAGCTCCTACAACACTAATGGTTCTTGAGGTTCATGTTCCGTGCTAGGCCAGAGAGCTCTGTAGTTTTCTCACCTGGGCTGTCAGAGTGAAGATTCTTTCCAAGTCACGATCACTCAACCGAGCCTGTCACTAGGGGGCGCTAGAGAACAATGCAGTAAACCCTCCTCTGACCATCTTTTTTGGCCTAAGCAAAATTTTAATTCCCTTGCTCAAACAGCCTTGGATGACAGGATTACATTCGACTCTGCTCTGCCTGAAAAAGGAAGGGTTTGTGTATCACTAACACTCCCTGCTGTACCTGGACATATACCTCTGATACTGTAGAAACTCAGTTACAAGAAAATAACAAACAAGCTACCTGGTTAAAATAGACTGAATTCCTCTATGTTTCATTCTTTGATTTAACTTTAACTGGTTTGGATCATGGCAATCTTTTTTTTCTCTCCTTAAATTCTTTTATTGGTACATTTAGGTATACAACACAATTACATTTCTCATTGGAAACTTGTACCTTTACATGATGCATCTTGGTTCTTATTTTTTCCCCATTCCTAGCCCTCCC